ATTATGTGACACAGAACATTATTGTTCGCCTCTTGTTCCCCCAATCAACAGCTTATTGTTTGGCATCTTAAATAAAAATGACTCAAATACAGGCCACATAATGATCTCCATTGCGCTAATACACTGTATATACAGAGTAGTCAAAAATGTACCCAAGCCAAGGCCAGTGGGGCTGATAAAGTAGCAGGGCCCAGAAAGGTAATTTACAATACAATGCACTAACTATTATTGCTGGCCTTAATCACACTGATATCTCCCTGATTCCTGTCAGGATGAGCTCCCACATCAAAAAGGGCACTTGAGCGGGGGGCAGCCCGTTAATGAAATATGATGGCTCGCATTTGTTTTCATGTGGTGGTTGGCTCAAACGAGGCAGCTCCAGACTGTTAGCCAACAGTCTTCCCTTGTGCCACATCAAAGGCTCCCATTGATGGCAGGGAGGGAGGGCAGGGGGAGACAGCGCCGAGGGAGGAGCGCTGGGCAGCTCAAAGCACCATTAAACCCTAATCTCTACCTTATGTCCCGGCAACAGAGAGGGAGGCAGAGCTGGCTGGGGCCAGCCTGGTCCCCAGCTCCAAAGGGAGCAGCTCCATGGGATGGGCACGGGCCTGGATGGGCATGGGGCTGCACAAGGCTCGCTGCTGATGTGGGGAGCGCACCGAGCTCAGGGCAGCTTTGATCCCAACAGAAAGGTGTCAGGAATAGCAACAGATTGCCTGAAAGTGCCAAGAAGAGCAGCAGCAGCAAAAGTCACTCCTGATTTGATCTGTGGGCTCAGCAGTGTTGATTGGTGTGGCTGCAAGAGACCTACAGATCTGCAGGGATTGTCCCTTAAAAGAAGTGCCCACTTTGGGCAAGGATGGAAGAGCGTTATCATGTACCCTGACCTGGTCTTGTTCCTGAGAATGGCAAGAAGCCTAATTTCCTTCACAGAGTAACTGAAAGGATTGAGTAATGCCGTATTACACGGAGCAAGCCAAGTGCTGAGATGTCCTGACAGGAACATGGCTCCAGCCAGGTCCTGCAGGACGGTTCACAGCAAGGGTTAACCTTCTCCAGAACCACTGCAACTCCACTGCCATCGGTTTGTACAACTTCTTTCATCCTTCTCAGAGCTCTACATGGCATTGTAGGTTAGCTGGGGAGAGCCTGAATACATCAATGCTGAACATTATGTGCAAGAGGGAGGAGAAGAAGATTTTACAAGCACCCCAAATATACCACTTTGAATGACCACTGTCATGAGGTTTAAACAGGACACAGGGCAACTGGGCCTTGGAGTCTGAGATATTCTTCAAAACTCTCACATAAGAAACATATTGATCCTGGCAACCTTTAGAAGTGTAATGTGACACCTTTCAATCAACAACAGTGAACATTCAAACAATAATATAATAATAAAAAAAGAAGGATGTAGGTTTGAGACACAGAACGGCACTGAAAATAGATTTCAATTTTGGATTTGGGTCTGCTGTAAACAAACACAGCAAAGATTTCTAGGAAAAAGAGAACAAGGTGGACAAATGTGAAACATTCAGTCTTTAAATAGAAATAAACAGCCAGCAATAGATGGTCAGATCCTTGTGTGCTTAACCCTATTCTCTCCATGCAAAGTGTGATTCAGCTGCAGAATAAGGTGTCATTTAATGTAACAGCATCAAAACTGCCTCTGAAAAACAAAATGATGTGTGAGGTACTTGAACTGCCTGTCAGGCAGCCCTATCCAACTAATGCTGAGCATCTTCTTATCCCATTGACTTCTCCCAGCACGGGGGCTGGCAATCCACCAGCAGTGTGCTGACACACAGGATCAGGCAGCACCCAAGGAAAGAGCAGCAAAGTGCAGAAAATGGCTTTGAACCTGTGAACCCAGTTCAGTGTAAATCCTGTGTTGACATCACTGATCATAGAAGTCACTAGTGGCCAACTGAAAGCCAGATCTAAAGATTGGTGTGTTAGCTTTTTTTTTTTGTTTTCACATACTATATACATTTCTATGGAAGGCTAAATATAGCCTGTTCCTTTCAGGCCCATCTGAAAAAGCAGACCCAGTTTAAAATTCAGAAGTAAGTTTTTAACTTGGCACATTTTTGTCCTTTGGAGCTTACACTGTAGTTTTGCTTAATCTACCTGGAGGTTTCATCATTGCCTAGATAATCCTGTGTGGAGCAGCCTCCAGACCCCAGGAATTCAGAGAAATGGGAGCAGGGTTGTGGCCCTGGATGTGCCATGGCAGAGTCACAACAGCAGCTCTGTATGTGCTCCTGGTGTGTCTAACACCAGCTCTCCATTTTACACAGAAAACTCCCAAGGAGCTCCTCCAGCTCCTTGGATGGATGAAACAGCTCAGAGAGAGTTAGTTCCCCACAATTACAGAGCTCTAGCTGATATTGCAGGTGTGTGGCACAAATGGAATTCAATTGGATTTCTGTACATTCAGCATCTCAAGGTTTGGGAGCCTGAATATCAACCTTTTCTCCACAACAATCCCATCCAAAGCACTGTGCCATAGGAGGTCAAAACACTGGGCAAAACCTGCAATATGAATGCTGTTATTCCTTCCCTTTTCCTTTTCTAAGTTAACAGAACTGTTTGTGCAAACCAGCGCTGCAAGGCTGGACACTCAGCGTGTTTCTTTCTCTGGCATCCCGAGTGTCTGGCACAGACTGTGTGACCCAGGGTCTGTCTGAGATCATCCACACCATTCCCCTGCAATAGCACCTGCGCCCTCGTGGCCCTGAATGGCTCTCACAACACAAATTTACAAATGGCTTTTGAAAATTACCCAAACACCCTTCCCGTGAGCAAAATCTGCTGCGACACAACCGCCTGGCCTTGGTTTTATTATGATTATTACCACTCCCAGCCTTTGGGGAGCTTTGTGTGTGTCAGCACATTTCTTCAGCGTCTCTGGTAGCCTTCAATCTTCCTGCCTTTTATACCTTTGAACCAGTTGCAAAAGCAAGAAAAACCTCACAAACCATGGGTTTGCTCAGGACTCAAGGAAATCCATGCATCCAACTGAAGTTTAATGCTCTCCAACTCCACTCCTCCCTGTCTTGCCCCTGCCCCCCAGGGGATGTGGGAGGAATGGTTTAAATCAATAACCAAAGGCTCCAGTTTTACAAACCCCTGAGCCATCAGAGGCCTTGGTGCACCAGCCCCAGCCTCCCCCAGCCTGCACACACGTAACACATATAGAAAAGAAAGGCTGGCAGCCTGGCATTAACAATGTTCATTCAGTGCTCTTTACTTAAAGGCAAAAACAATTAAGTGAAACCTTGAAGTAATCTCATTCTGCCTATTTAGCCTCTTCATCCCTCAATGTGTGGTTAGTAAGTGTTGCAATCAGGGGCTAAGGCCTGCTATCATTCGGCCTTAATTAAAAAAGACACAAGCAGTGGAGCTGTGAATTAGAAATGTAACAACGCACTACCCCTGATTAATTCGAGGCTCATGTTGGATTAATAACTCCAAACAAAGAACAAAAGGAAATTGTTATGCGAATTGCAGCCCTCCCAGGCCAGACAAAGGTCAAATCACAGGATTTCAATTTCATCCGGAGTCGCTTAATCAACTCCCTCGGAAGGAAGACCATATGCAGCCCTGAAAGCTCCCCATTGTAGTGCTGTTGTCACTGGACCTGAGAGACAGCACACAGATAATCCCAGCTATTCCCATCTTTTCTCCTTCTTGTCTGCTCCTTTTCTTTTTTTTTGTTTCTTTTTTATTTTCCTTTTTTTTTTTTTCTTTTTCCCCATTATGACAAAAGCCCTTCATTAGGGCTAATGATTCAGGAATAATCTGAAGCCAGGACAGGATGGTATCTGTGGGAAAGTGGCTTTTGTGGCTGCTGCCCGATGGCAGCGCCCTGGCTCTCAGTGCCCATGCAGCTGCAGGGGCAGCCCCTTGTTTTGGGGGGGAGTCACAACTGCTGTGCTTCCTTGCACACCACACAGTCACTTACCCCAAACCTGGGGTGTCAAACAGGGTGTTTGGGACACCCTCAGTGTGCTGCCTACATCTTCATGCAGAGATCTTTTGGGGATGTTAGGTGAGAAAGGATATTACCAGTCTGAAACCCCATCTCCGACCAAAACTAAGCCACAAAGAATAAAATCCCATATTTTCTTGCTGTTGACACTCCCAGTGAAATGATGATGGAGCAGAACAGCCCTCAGTTTTCATGACCTTGGATATAGTTAGCAGGAGCAGGGCATGTGCCCCTGTTCCCATGGAACATGACTTCTCACATGGCAGAGCATTTTATAAGGACTCCACAGTTATTCTGTATTTTAAAAAAAGGAAAGTTTGGGTCTGCTTGGGAATCTGGCACCTCATGCCAAGAGCAATGCTTTAGAAATGAAAGAAGAGCAAGGGAGAAGCTTCAGGGGGTCCATGCCACCCTCAGTGCCTTCTGGAAGGGCTCAGCCCAGGAGCACCAGCTTGCCCAAGAGCTGCCAGCAGCCTGGAAGGGCAGGTACCCCTCTCAGCCAGATCCCTATTGTTTGCACACAGCTCAAAAGGCAGCCTGGAATGTCTCAGGGTTTGGCTCATTGGGGTTTTGTTGTTTATTCTGTAACAAGAACACAGTTTGGGACCAAATATACTGTCCCCAGGAGCTGGCTGCAGCAAGACACCAGAAGCCAGCAACACTCCCCACCATGACCTAGACCTCCTGCTTAACTCTAACAAACCTCTCCTGATCTACATGGACATGAGATACAAAGGCTCAAGCAACAGTTCTCCTCTAATCTTAAATTCTGATTCAGACAATATTCTGTGTATGAGCTCCTTGCTGTAGGATTGCTGACAAATGCACCAGGACTCTGAGCTGGCCTTACCAAGAGACACCCAAAGCCCAAAGAAACCCCACAAACCCTGGCACTAGCACCTGGCACTGCATCAGCAGCTTCCAAACCTGCAGGCACTGCAGAGCAGGGGTTATGGCTGGGATGCTACAACACCTGGGGAATGCAGGTTCTGTGGAGATCTCTTACCTGTGCTGGGTGCTGGATGAGCCTGCAGGTCGCTGGGTGAACTCAAAGCAGATCCTGTTGTGACTCTCAGCTTGGGATCATCTCCACTCAGTTCTGTCACAGGCTGCACTGGGTCCTCTTGCCAAGGGGCTGCTCACACAATTGTGCCTCTGAATTAGCTGTTGGAGGGGAAGAAGCGGTTTGTGAATTGCCCTTTCCCACTCAGAAATATTCCAGTTTTTAATATTAACCCAATACATGACTATTCAACTTCTCTGATGCTTTCCTTTCAAGTATCCATACTCTCATGCTTTACATATTGATTTCTTAGCATGCAACCAAAAATTAAGATGAAATACCTACTGTGCCATGGAAAAAGAGAGTCATATACTCAGAAACCCTTTTGCCTGTGTTATACCAAGCTATTAAATCCAAATTACACAGAATGCAAATTCTGTTAGAAATGAATCTTTCAAGCATTCCACCAGCTCCAAAATGTATTCAAAAAATAAGTTTTGAAATCTGTTACTATTAGAAGCTCAGCAACGAATTAACTTCCATGCACTACCAGCTATTTTAGCTACTTGCACTCTTCAGCACGAAAGTAAAATGCAAGTTTTAAGTATGTAGCTCCAAAAGTTTAGCCCATGTATTCATCTGTCAAGAAGGAAACGGGTGCACATATCCCAGTAAGAGCAGCAGGGTGACACAATTTCCCTTCCCATTCATGTTGAAAGCCAGTTTAGTGTCGCAGATATCTTCTCATGAAAAATCCTTTCCTTAGGATTTTTCCTCCTGAGAAGCTGAGAGACCTCAGGAACAAAATGTAAACATTGATTATCTGCTGCTGTGGGATGCAACAGGTAAATATTTGATTGGCCCATGTTGGATGTTTATAATTAACGGCCAATCACAGTCAGCTGGCTCAGACAGAGAGTCCAAGACAGAACCTTTGTTATCATTCTTTGCTTTCTATTCTATTCTTAGCCAGCCTTCTGATGAAACCTTTTCTTCTATTCTTTTAGTGTAGTTTTAATGTAATATATATCATAATAAATCAGCCTTCTGAAACATGGAGTCAGATCCTCATCTCTTCCCTCACCCGAAAACCCCTGTGGACACTGTCACAGGTCAGCTTGCAGCCTTCAGTCCAAAGGGAGAAGGACTGGGCACACATTTCTCATGTTTTCTGATTACTAAAGAGAAAATCAGTTTCTTCTCCAAGAGTGAAAGAATCACAGAACCATTCAGGTTGGAAAAGACCTCTGAGATCAAATCCAGCCTTTAATCAGCACTTGTCAACTCGACCATGGCATTAAGTGCCACATGCAGTCATTTCTTGAACACCCTCCAGAGACCTTGACTCTGCCACCTCCTTGGGCACTTGGGCAGCCCATTCCAATGCTTAACAGCCCTTTCTGTCAGGACATTCCTCCTGGCGTCCCACCTGGGCCTCCCTTGGTGCAGCCTAAAGCCACGTCCTCTTGTCCTGGGAGAAGAGGCTGACCCCAGCTGGCTGTATCTTCCCATCAGGGAGTTTAAAGAATTATAAAGTCTCTGTGAGCCTCCTTTTCTCCAAGATAAACAACCCCAGCAGCTCCTCACAGGCCTTGCTGTCTGGACAGCACACTCAGGAGTTGTTCAGGCTCTCACTTCACTCCCCAGCTCTCTGAGACGACATTCCTCCTCTCAACACAGGACATGGCACCTCTCACTTACCAGCCAGTTGTTTGCAAATAAACAAAATAAATTAAAAAGTGCGCAGATGAAAGCTGATGTGCTAAAAAAATAGCTCAGCGCAGTGATGAAATGCGTCCGCTGTGGCTGTAATGCTACAAAACCAAAACAAAAAAACCTCCAAAAAACTCCCAAACCCCCCCCCAAAAAAACAAACAAAAAAAACCCCAAAGCCCAAAAACCATAACCCCCCGCAACAACAAAACCAATACCAAAAAAACCACCTCAGGATAGTTTTCTTCTGCTTTCTACAGACAGATTTGGGGGTATCTGCTCTCTCCCAGCCCAAATGCCAGCACAGGCCAGGCATGCAAGGGGTTCCTACAGCCCACATCAGATGAAAACCTACAAAGCTACTGAGGATGAGGAGGAAAACAATTTATTTAACTGGCTGCAGACCCTACTAGCTCCACTATTAAGTTTGGCATATGCTCAGTCTTGACATCAAACTTTGCCCATCCTCATAACTCCTGCAAACACCACAGTGAAAAACAGCTTCCAAGGGGCTGCACTGGATGGCACAGGCACAGCCTAAAACAGCAGGCTGCCCTAAATTCCTGTGCAATCCCCCAAAACTGAGCGTTCCTGGAGCCCATCCCACTCTCCTCGCTCCTCTCAGCTATCTCTGAAACCTTATGGATTTTTATAAATCCCAAAGCACCCACAACACTGGGCACTGAAAGCCGCCCTCAGCTTGACTTGCTCTTTCCTTTGTGGCAATAATCTCAGAGCTGTGCACCTGTATCTTTAAGCAAATAAACCAACACATTTCCCTGATTTTACTTGACATTTTTTCTTATCCTTTCCCTTTACATAGGAGCTGCCTCTTTCTCTTCCTTTTCCCTCAAACCAGGCACCAGTGAGAAACATTCCTCCTCTGTAGCTCTTCCCAAGTGTGAAAGAGCTTTCACATATCTTTACCTCACTGACCCTTCATCTCCTTTCGAATCACAGATAAGAAACAACATTTCCTTATCTTGCTAAGAACTGGGAACACTTTCCACTTCTATTACAGTGTTTGCCACCCCTATTAAACACACCGAGAGCCTGCATGAAAAAAAAATTATGCATAAATCTGGTAGTTCTCTGATAGATTCCAAGCAAGCAGTTTTTCAGTGGATAGCGCTCCAAACCGTACTGCGAGCAAGCAGCTGTGTCAAAAGATTAAATATGATGGGGTGTGCAGAGAAAGCCAGTCATGTCAAGCCCATTTGTCTCTCCCAAAGAAAACCAAGCCGACCAACCAAAGATAATGTGGGTTCTTCTATTCACCTTACCAAAATGCCACTTCCACTGGAAGGTTAAAATCATGGCACAGCAAATTAGGTTTTACACCTGGATAATTTTTCCCAAGAAGTCCAGCAGCTTTGTTTAAGCTCAACTTAAAGGACTGCACACCATTTCTAAGTGTTGCTGGGTAGCTGCTGCTCTCCCTCTTAGAGGTGCAAGATATAATTTCCTTGAAAGATACAGCTTTCCTTCCAAGACGCAAAAATATTTCATGGAACACGTTCTTTTTAATTTTCATTTTTGGCCAGCTTTAGTGGTAATTATGGGGATTGCCAATTATTGTTATAAATCTAGAAACACTGCAGTAACTTCCTTGTAAAAGAATTTATAATATACTTTAACAAAGTTATCAGGAATCTTATCTAATTCTTCATTGCTCTGATGAGATATTGCATAAAGGAGCAAGACTAAGAGTCTATTCATGTTGTATAAGCCTGGAAAGAGGTTCCAGAAGCTTAAAAGAACTGGATCCCATAAATAATTTCACCTTTGCCTTTCTTTTTTTTTAAATTTCCTTGTGAAATCTGTCTCCTTTGCTTTGATGCCTTTGATTGAAAGGCATTGTGTAAATGACTCACGTTTGCACAGCTCTGAAACAGGAACACCAACAAAAGCCAAAACATACAATTTGGTGTCTTTGCCTGCTGACTAAACACTTTTCCTTGGATCTCCCTTTGCTTGGAGGGTAAATTGTTAGTTTCAAAGCTGAATGACTGCTTCAGTGAGTTGGGTAGCAGACTATTGGTACAGTGTGATAATTAAGGGATCTTAGTTCTTAAACAATGCTGATAAAACAGAAATCCCTCTCCCTTTTTTCTGGATTACCTTTAGAACTGAAATCAGAGCACGTAAAATGAATAATAATTTGCACCTTCTGTGAATGATAAAAGACTGAATCAAATTTTAACTAGAGTCTATTTGTAAATCCCTCAGGATGACATAATTACTATTCAACACATACCTTAATTAGCTGTACACATCTATTTCATAGTATTTAACAGGTTTAAACAGCTCCTATTGTCTGCTGAATGGATGTTCCATTCTTATCAAAATGGAAACTATTCTGAGTTTCCTCAGCTGGAGGAAACTTGCTCACAGAAGTTAAGAAATTATCTGGAAATTACTGTTCATATAGTCAAATCGGTTTTGGTTGGGTTTGTTTGTTTTTCATTTTTAAAGTTGTTTCAAATTCACCAATGGTACAAAGAATGGCATTGCACTGGTGTAAATTATTGTTGTTTTTGGTTCTTTCCTTTTGATGAGAAAAGGTCATAGTTGCATTGTCTGGTGAAAAGAAAAATCTATTCAAACTTTTTCATAGAATTTGAAACTAATACCAGGCTAGGCAAGGACATGATTTCTTCTCCTGGTTTGGATTACAGCACGGCCTCACCTCTAGAAAGCAGAGAAAATAAACAACCTGGGGAGAAGGTCTGAAAGATATTGTACCCCTCCCAAATACCCAAAAGCCATCAGACCAGACCTAGTCCTAAGATTTACCTTAACAATAATGCTTAGAAACATGCAAACAATGCCTCCCAATGCCTTGGAGATCCTTTTATCATTCTCTTACTTCTCCAGGCTGCCCCCATGTCGTATTTTCAAGTTTTTCACCGCAATTCCTTGTAGCAAAAATGTATTTTTTAGTGAGTGGAGGTAGAGATTCCTTCACATTCATATTATCTCATAACAGGGCTCTGCAAGACTTGTTACATATTGTAAGCTTCCTGATAAAATTGCAGACATTGTGTTGGGAAGATAATTGGTTCTGCCCCTGAAACAGAATGAAGTCAAAGTCAAATAAATAAAAACAAACAAAATAAGACCAAACTTATTCAGTTGGGAATGCTTCTTCCTTCCTAGTCATGTTTCTTCTTCTGTGTATGATGAAACTAAATGCCCAATCATTAAAAATTAAAAATATAAAAATCACTCAAATGAATCAATCTGATCCCTTGTCTTTCTCAGCAGATTTGGGGATGGAGAAGGAAAAAGAAAAGGGTTTTGTGTGGTATATGTGCCAAGGTCTTTTAAACTTTACCAGCACCTCTTTTTGGGCCCGGAGTTTCCACCCTGCCTGGCGGCGGTGGTCACTTGCTTGGTACTGGAAAAGTGGCAAATCAGAGGGGGAAAAGGGTGCAAAATGCACTCA